CCCCGATTTTTAAACTTTCTATTATTCGAATCAATCTTTTGGTCCCATTAGCAAAAGAGAGTCAAAAAAAAGTTAGGAGAAATTTACCCTCATCCCTATATATATCTCGAACCATTTTTCGTTTCTCTGGGAGGTTCGAGAAATCGGGAATCCATTGTATATACAAGTCGAACTGACTTACTTTATTTTATTTATTTTATTTATTTTTCATTTTTCATTTTTCATGACTCGCATGACTCGCAACCTGGCTCGCATGGCTCGCATGACTCGCACCCTGGCTCGCATGACTCGCATGGCTCGCTGGCTCGCATATTAGTACAACTCCTTTCAAACCGAGTGACCCTTCATCCAAAACCAACCTGCTCCCCATGCCAACTTTGTGATAATTTCAGATTCAAAACTGGTGAAAGTTTTATCACCGGCGGGGCTCGACTGGGACAATATATCCTGAAAATAGGCCGTGCGGAATACACGTTGAAATACCCATTGTACCATTTTTTCTTGAATCGAAACGGCAACCTCTTGTGATTCGCTTTTCATTGGGTTACCCAACAATTGAAAACCGCAGAGATAATGACTTTGAATGAACGGTTTTAGGCGCCAAACTCATGTTTTTGTTGTGATAATATTTTAGTTGCTCAGCTTGGAAAAATTATGAAAAGAAAAAAATGCTGTTGTTTCCACCACCCAATGGTTGAGAAAGGTATCCTGTTTTTGGTTTTGTTTTTTGTTTTTTCTGGCTTGACTGGACGTCTTATAGTAGACCTGTGAAAAGACTAGAAATTGTAAACGCACTTGACCATGAACTCCTAAAGCAATGGAGCGTGAAACTTGATTTATTCAAACGTCAACTGCATTGATTACTATTGAAACAAATTGTTTCAGCATCGGTAGGGAATACAGCTAAGAAGAACAAAGTATGAAGACTCTGTCTGCATTGATCGTCCTAGGAGCATTTTCCTTCTCGTTAGCCTATAAAGGCAGTTACATGCCTGATGATGGTGGGTATAATTTAACATGTCTTAAATTTTGCGTCTCAAGAATCCTTGCATGTCGAAGCCAGGCAAACTGTACTATTCAGGACTCTAAAAGGTTGAATGTTTCTAATAAAAGCTTAATACGAATCTGCCTTTTCCGTATATGCAAAAAAATTAAACGTTTTGAGAACATGATCGTTTTCATATCAGTTCTGCGCAGACTGTACAGTCACTGGCGTGTCCTGTCGCGGTTCAATACAAACAAACTTTGAAAGCAAAACAGCAAGTCAGAACTTTGTAGCGTATACAGATACACCGAACATCAGATTTCTTACATACTGATCAAACGAACCAAATCTTTGGAACGAAGTGGGATAGTTTTAACGGTGCAATTTATCGCTAAACCACTAAGAGCTGCTTCTACAACTGGAAACAGTTGAAATTTGTTTTTGGCGCCTCAATCTTTAACGGATTCCTATAATATGCAAATGCTTTTGGCGGCAATGGATAATGTATAATTTGGAGTGTTGTACACGATTGTTTAAAATGAACGTAACCCTGTTTATGAAAACAAACGATTACTTAAGGGAGTCCGCATTTCTACTTCAAGTCAACGCATAACCTAATTGTTTTAGTATAAATCTACTATGGTCGTTCAAAACTTTATCTAAATCCTCTTCATAGACACTTCGAAAACGCCAAGAAGCGGCCGTCATTTTATGAACAAGGGCATACCGCTACGCTACTCACTATCTATCACAGAATAGATAGTGAGTAGCGCAACCAATCAGAGAACGGCATTCGTGATAGAACGCTAGTAAACTTATACTAAAACTCGATAGGAACACGGAGAACATGTTTCCTATTTCTTTTAGAAAATACAGCTATTAGAAAAAGAAAACAACTTATTTACTTTTATCATCAAAAATGTAAATTATCTCTGCTTGCGCCATCATTTCGTCAACAGCTCGTGCTAGCTCTGTGTTTCTATCGAGTTTTTGTATAAATCTACCAGTGTTCTATAATGAATGCCGTTCTCTGATTGGCTACGCTACTCGCGTTCCATTCTGTTGTAGATAGTAAGCAGCGTAGCAGCGTGCGCTGGGGACTGCTTCTTTGTGTTTTCGAGGTGTCTTTAAGGAGGATTTAGATTAAAGTTTTGAACGACCACTAGATTTATATTACAACAATTAAATTATTCGCTCTTGATTTCTATGCGTAATAGTTGACTCGGGCTGCGCGCTCGCCAATGATCACGCGATAGAAATCTCGAGCTCATGATCTAATTGTTTAGTAGTACCATGATTTTCAACCAACCAGCGCGCATATTTTGGGGGAGGGTATTTTCTAAAATTTTATAAGCCAGGTACCAACAGTACCGGCCAATCATTGTGTCAAAACTCTAGCACGTAGATTCCCTCTTCATTTGGTGTTTCAAGCACTGAGTTCTGAAGAGCATAAAACACAGCACTGATGACTCTATTTCACAAACGTAGATAATAAAAGGCTGCGAGATGACTATCGCGCCAGATAACTTGTAGTTTTCAAATTGGTATGGTAGGTTTAACTTGTACAGCAGAGGGACAGACAAATCTTCGTTAAAACACGTGTAAAGTGTCCGACTTTTACTATCCAGTTAACGAATAGGGCAGGACTTAGAACACCCTGAAATTCGTCAGGTGCATTAGCAATTGCGGGAAGACAACCTGCGAACTAAGACCAGTCTAGGAGGTGGCATCACTATCAACTAGCTTCAACTGGTACCCCGACCACCCTTTGGACTTTGTCCTGTCATCGGTGCTTTCCTCGGTTACCAAATAACAGGGTTCGGATGGGATTGTTTGAATCACGGTTAATTTATCAATTAAATTTTTCGGTAATTTTAGTAGCCATCGATAAAATTTCAGCACATTGAATTTTGCAGATCTCATTTATCATCATAAAAATACGTCATTTTTTAGTTGTCAGTTAAAATATTAATAAATCGTTCGCTAAAACTTAAACACTAGCCTGTGTAACAGGCGTACAGCAGGTGTACATGTAGGGAAGAGAGGCAGAGAGAGGGAGAGCGGGAATAGAAGGAGAGCGCTTTTTTACCTTCCTACTATACCCCTTCCCCATTTACGCCTGTAACCCAGGATAGTTAAACCCCATTCAGATCTTTCGATCCCAAAAGGGAAATTAAAATGTGGTTAATTAAAATTCTTCAACAAACTGCATATGGTCCTTTCATTTCAGGCTTATGGGAAGATGACGAGACAGACTGGGACGACCCAAACTCTATTGTGTTCAACAAGAAAGTTTACAATTGCACTGATCACATGGGATGTGGATGTCCCATGCTGCTTTGTACTGGAAACAAAATCTGTGAACGCGATGATAACAACCCGATCAAGTGCCGGCTCACCAAGCCGTACAAAAAAATCAACTTACAAAACGCAAAAGTAGAATTTTTTTTCAAGGGTTCCGGTGATTGCAAATGCAACCCTTTGTAGGTATAACGAGGACAGAAGAAAAACAAAGACAAAAGAAGAAGTGAAGTGATTTTGTAATCTAAAGGGAACAATCTAATTCTTCTGTAAGCTGTACTTTTAGCAACTTCGAAAGAACACACAAACGCTTTACTACGGTTTCTGTACTGACCTGTTTGTTAGTTTACCATTATACTGAGTTGTGTTGTTTGATCTCAGTTCATCTGTGTAAAATATGTGGTCAAATCATATTGTACATGAGAACGTTAAATAAAAAAAAAAATCAAATGAAAGGATTAAGTTGAATTAAAATGAAGAAGCACACAACAACCCTCATTTGGAAACTCAACTCACTCAGTATGACTGCATCTAACATGTTTAACAACTAGGAGTGTCCACATAGGACGGGGATCTTCGTCGTCACGTTTAGGGATGTACAGTGTTGTAGCTCGAAATAGCCGATGTTTGAAATATATAATAGTGTACGTTTTACGTGCTAGAATATCAAACTTAATTGGCCAATACCAGATTGAGTAATGTTAGAAGGAATCTAGATTTGGATTAGCCGAGCAATTTCGTTAGTCAAGTAAACAGACTTTTAGTTTTTTTAAGCGCAAGAGGCGTTCATTGCTATTGTTTCACAAAAACGACCAACAAGCGCAGGGACGTGGTTTTTTGGACATGATCAGTGCTCCGCAGCCGCACTCTTTTTGGGGGATACCGTCGAGTACCCCAACATTTGCCTCTATATGCTGTAAGAATCTGGGGGAGGGGGGAGGGGGGCACGTAAAAAGGTCGGAGACGCTCGTCAGAAAATTTGAATTAAACCTCCAAAGGACACCTGCGCGTGGCTCGAACTTAAGATGACCCCTAAAATATACCACTTCAAAGGTAAAGTCTGCATACGAGCTAAGTAGCCCATCAGGCCTGCGCTTATCTCCGGTTTCTGTAGCATGAAGCGACAAATATATTCTAAAACTCAAGTTATTTCTTTGAGTATAACCCTAAAAGATACCTTGACGGCTGGAAACAGTGGCGTTTCGTCCTGAACTGTATCTAAGTTTGACCACAGTACATGATTTACACCCAAAGGAGAAAGTGAGCAATGCTACGTAGTTCATTACATATGCAAAGTTTTGCTATAGAAGGAATGACACCCAAAATGGGGAATCTGAAAAAGCCCAAACGTAATTATAATCAAAAAGATGGTCATCTGAAAGCCGATTCATCTTGTCTCTTATTGACCTTATTCTACAAGCCTGTCAAAGAGGCATCCGGCATTTCCGAACCAAACCCTAATTGCCTGCGTACTGTTTCACGCATTTTTAAATTTGCTGGGTGGCTAGCCTGTGAACAGGCTCTCCATTAGAGAATGGGGCGAAGAGGAAGCCAGAAAAAAAGGGGAGAGAGGAGAGAGGAGGGAGAAGCCTCCCCCCATTCCAACTCCCCTCAGCCACTTCACTCCCAACCAGTTCCTTCTCGGCACATCCAGCCGAGGTCAGAGCCTTCCGGCTGGAGCCTGTTCACAGGCTACCGTGTGGCACGAAACTTTGGGGAATTCTAATTTTTGCGGTTTTTCCACCACCCGCAAAAAAAATAGTTCTCGCAAAATTTTTCTCCGCAAAAGTTTACACCACTGAGAAAATTATACATATAAACATCACATGTAGAATCACGTTGGTGCCATTTACTTAAATGATTTCTGTCGTTCGATTCAGAAACAAAACACTGACATTAGAAATAAAAAGTTTCAAACTAAAACGAGGAAATTGTCATCGATACACTACAGGTGTTATTTTGCGTCAAATGGTACCCGTAGTTATTACTGATCCATCGTAAGGGCAATCAATTACAATAGGGCAAGATGTACTTGTAACAGTAGATTTATTCTGTAAAAGAATGGGCATTACCAGTAATCAGACACATACTCCATTCGCGCGTCAATCATGTGCGCTTTTATGGCGTCTTTCTTAATTTTTACTTCTGTTTGTGAAACAGAAGGGAACTTTTCGCTCAAAAGAAGTTTTAAAGACTTTTCGATCGCCAAATTTGTTATTGACTCGATTAATTACATGAAGCACCGGTCTCGTAGGCCCTTTACTCCACTACGAGCCTAAAGGATTAATTCAGTTAGTCGCACAATGGCCAATTACGTCTATGAGACGTGTCTGCAGGGAATCACGGCAGTTGTATTCATCAAAATAAACATCTAGCATAAGATGGTGAATATAACTACCATCATTCCCTGCAGGCGTATATCATAGAGGGAACTTGCCATTTAGAGCTAGAGAGTAATAAAATAAATTAACTAAATCTCTAATTTTCTTTCTCCTCTGTCGGACCTGACAATGCACATTGCTAAATCGATTACCCAGTGTCCCCAGTTGTTTTTGTCTGTTTCATTATTTACTCATTCTTTATTATGTTACAAAGATATTTTTTTATATTACAAGGTCATTATTATGTTATAAGATATCTTTCTTTAAAGATATTTAAAGAAAATTAGTTCAGTTAGCTCTGTAGTGGTAAATACCAGCACCAGCTTTTAATAAGATGATTTAGAAGACATAGTTTTAGATAGTCCACCGACTCATATTAAGTAGTTAAAATTAGGGGTCAAAAACGAATGCCACCGGAAGTTCAACTGAACTCCATTTCCAAACTGTTTCCCCTGTTCTGACGTCACACTTCTGCACCAGACCTCTGTGGTTATAGAGCACTGCGCGACAGTAATGCACGCAACCAGGACACACGGCCTTGGTCAGGAATCGGGGGACACGATCTGGGTTGTCGTCTTGCGCCCAGGTCCAAGGGCACTTTGTGGTTCCTGGTATTTTCACGGTGACGTCTCGACTAACGCGCCTTGTAATTACCAGGGATGACTGTAGCATGGCCGACGGTTTCTCGACAAACATGAAATGGTGGCGAAGATGTTTGAGCGTCTTCTGTGGTTTTAGCTGCACGGTTGGACAAGGATGAATTTGAAGGGAATATGAAAGCGCGCTTATCAGAACCAGACTGACAAAAAGCTGTTGTAAATAAAAATATATATTAAATGTTAAAAGGCCGCAGCTTTAGCATTCCGAGTTGTCATAAAAATGCGTCTCAAGATAGTCACAAAAACGTTCTACAGTACAATTTATTTGGCTTAAATAAGAGTACAGTCGAGCCTCCGGAAACCAAAAGGGCAGACCCGGGTGTCCTTGCTATGGAGGTGGCCGCATTATAGAGGAAGAGATTATATGAATTCTGGTTTCGCTGGGGCGACGTTAACTGTAGAGGTATCCGAAAGGAGAGGTTTATCTGTATCTAAATGATTTTCTTTACCAGCTACAGCACGGCATGTTATTTGCGTTTCTTTAACAAGACAAGGAACCTGAGCACTCAGGATTAGACGCTCTGTAATGCGTTTGTTTCCTCTCTGGCTGTTTTTTTTTTCCTTTCGCTAAAAGATTCACGAAAGAGAAATTGTCCGACATACAATCCAGCAAGTTGCATATTAGCAAATATTTAATGAGGTGTTTAAATCGACAACTGAACACTTTTAAAACAAGGCAGTTACGTAGTAAATATCTATATTTTCCTTATTGCGTAAAATTAATATCGGCTTTCAATAATGTTAACTTACCCTTTCACAAGAGAAACCCATGTTTTGCGTTGCTTTCTCCTAACGGCTTCCCAAACTGCTCACAACACGCATGTATGTGGCAGTGAATGCTGACTTTCTTCCCCAAACAGGAGTTACCTTCTTTTATACCATGAATTTTTCCCTTTTGCTATTTAAACTTTGCAACAGATTTAGTCCACACAACAGGACGGTAAGAGTTATTTTCAATTTATTGTTCCTTTACTTTAAATTTCGTCAACAGTTCCTTTATCTCTTTCACTCCCACTCCAATTTGAGGTTTTCTAGCTCATGACTCTCTCGTCTCCTCTTCCCTTCATTTTAAATTGATATTGTCACGGGAAGCCATACATATTATAGCTTAGCTACTAATAGCAACTTCGAAAGGTGGCGTTAGTTAATCTAACAGATGAACGCTTTGCTTTCAACTCTGGACATTTTGGAGAGTATATAATTTTACCTTCTGAGCAAATCGCAACGCTCTCCGTCATACAGCAATGTTTGAATTTATCCATGGCACTTCATATTTAATTAACAAGTTCACGAAAGTGGTCGATATTGACCTCTGAGGAGAATGATTAAGTCAGAGACAACGCCCGACGGGACACAAGACCGCACGACCGCATTTTATTTGCATGAGTCAGGCATAGCTCTTTTTAATTTCAAGCTTAGCGGAATTAAAGTTACGAACAACATGGAGTGCGAAGACTTGGCTGTTTTCAAAAGGGAGGTTGCAAACAATAGACGGTGCACTTTCCAAATGTAAAATGGAAGGTGAGATTATAAAATACCCTCGTCTAAATACCAAAATCTTTAAAGTGCAGTGTTATTACTATAGTCTTCACTCGTTTAACGGCAATAAGCTACATGTAGACGCTCTAGCGATCCCATTATTTTTTTGCCACCAGCCTTAGTTTAAGTGTCACGATTCGGCTTTTTCCCGAACCATACCTAGCATTTTCAATCCGCTTGTCGAATTCTTGACTACGGTTAGATCGAATTTTTTGAAATGCTCCATGGTCTATGAGACTCAGACTTTGCAAAATCTGCCGAGAGGGCGTATTTGTCGGGCATTCCACAACATTCCCGATTATGTCTCCTGGGCGAAATTGAACATTTTTCCTACCTTCTTAAAAATGAGATGACTCAGAGCCCACTCATCCCTCCCCCAACCCCCAACTCCACCCCCGAGAGGGGATATTTGTCGGGCACTCCACAACTTTTTCTATCTTTAGCTAGGGCATTTGTTATAACAGGTCAGCCAAGGAGTGGATATCGTCAAAGGCAATGTCATCCTTTTTTTTAGTTTTTGAAAAAATTACATCTCTCATTGTTTAGTTAGCTGATTGCCTCGTTAAGTCTTGCAAAAATTGGCAATGTTGCTTCCTCGTGCAAACCAAGGCTATGTAAGAAAAAAAAGCCTTGACATTGCAGCTTTGCGTCCAGCTCGAAAGCGCTTTACTGCTGTCTTGTCACTGAGGTCGGTCAAACACAGTATAAATATTGACATAAAGTCCCCAGCTGAATCCGCCGTAGAAAAAAAAAGATGGCGATTGGTACATTTACCCATAACCTTAGTGCACGGAAACTTAAACAACGCTCATAAAAACGTACAGGAATGTTCTAAAACCTTCAAACCCAGCGTACACAATGTCGATAGCACATGGACAAATACTGCAAAAACA